AGCCATGGTGGCGTTGCCGTGGTGGCCTTTCAGGAGCCATGGTGGCCTTTCAGGAGCTGTGGTGGCATTGCAAGAGCCGTGGTGGCCTTTCAGGAGCTGTGGTGGCATTGCAAGAGCCGTGGTGGCCTTTCAGGAGCCATAGTGGCCTTTCAGGAGCCGTGGTGGCATTGCCATGGTGGCCTTTCAGGAGCCGTGGTGGCGTTGCAGGAGCCATGACTCGGAGCAGCAGCCCTGGGGCAATGGGCTCCGGTGATGCCCCCGGGGGGCGGTGGGTCTGGGTTCACGGCGGGGGGGACACACAGATCGAGGGGACCCGGGGCTGCATTTCCCAGGCTGCTGCTTTCACGTGTCTATAAGGTAATCCCAGGACAGAGGTAATCTTGCTTTTCCAGCTCTGCTGCAATCGAGATCGCTAATTACCAAAGCATTTCTCTTGCTCGTGTGGGCTCCTCAAAACGCTCGGGGCCTCCTGGCTGGGCACGGAGCTTTATCCAGGTGGGAGGGATCCGGTCATCCCGGCTTTCCTGGTGGGAAGAGCCACGTTGCTGCTACCCCGGGGGGCAGTGAGGCTGAAGGAGCCGGGCAGCATCACCCCATCCCAGGCATGGGAGCCCCCTGGCACCATCCTCCCGACCAGCAAAGGGCACGGTGAGCTCATGTCTTCCAGCCTCCTTCAAATGGACCTGATGGAGAGGGTCCAGAGGAGGGCCACAAGGATGATCAGGGGGATGGAGCCCCTCTGCTACGAGGACAGGCTGAGGGAGCTGGGGTTGTTCAGCCTGGAGAAGAGGAGGCTCCGGGGAGACCTAATAGCGGCCTTCCAGTACCTGAAGGGGGCCTACAGGAAGGCTGGGGAGAGCCTGTTTACAAAGGCCTGCAGTGACAGGACGAGGGGAAATGGCTTCAAGCTGGAGGGGAACAGATTTAGACTGGAGATGAGGAGAGGGTTCTTCACTGTGAGGGTGGTGGAGCACTGGAACAGGTTGCCCAGGGAGGTGGTTGAGGCCCCTTCCCTGGAGATATTCAAGGAGAGGCTCAACGAGGCCCTGGGCAACCTGGTCTAGTTGGGGGTGTCCCTGCTGACTGCGGGGGGGTCGGACTAGATGACCTTTGGAGGTCCCTTCCGGCCTGGGCAATTCTATGATTTTATGAAATTAATCTCTCTCTTACGTGTCAAATTCCCTCCTTTTCAAAGCAAAGGGCTGCGTCCGGAAGGGTTTGAGAAAAGGTTTGTTTTTTTTTCTATGGGGAGGATTCTGAAACGCGTCGGGTCCTTGACTCCATCACCTCTGAGACAGATTTGGGCTGTGTTGGGCTCAGCAGAGCAGCCCCCGAGTGCTCAGCACACACCGTCCCTCTCGTTATCCAGGTGCCTTCCTTAAAATCTGCTTTTTTACTTCTCCCAAAGCGCAGGTAAATATTTGTGGAAGTTCCTCGGACTCTGCGGGAGCGCGGCCGCCGCTCCGGCCGTTAAACCCTGGGAGGGGATTTGTGGTTCACGGGAGCAAAGGCTTTGGATGAGGAGGGTGAAGAAGGGATTTCATCTTCTCACATACCTCCACTGCTGGCTTCTTTTTTTTTTTTAACCCAACTTCATAGATCGGCTGAATTTTTCCTTGAGTTAAGAAATTATTCTGGGGTAAGACTCCCATTCAGCCCCAAGGTGGGAAAAGAAATAAGATGGAAATTGCCCACACTCGCCCCATCTCTCTTTGTGATAGGAAAAAAAGTGGGGTGTGTGCGGAGGGGGGAGTCCCAAATAATCAAAATCCTGATTTCCAGAGGGTTCAGCGAGTGGCACATCCTGCCAGGGCCATCTCCGTGCCCCTGCACCAAGGCAGACAGGTGTTATGGGCACAGAGGGCTGATTTGTCCCCTGATTTGTCCCCTTCCCTCCACCAGAACCCCCCCGTGAGTGCTGGGGGTGAGTTGTCCCGTGCCCTGAGAGCTGTGGAGGTTCCTCTTGGCTCGTCTCTCCGGGCGGTGGGACGCAGCTGGAGGAGGCTCGGTGCCGTTTGATGGCTCAGCAAAGCTCAAACGTCCTCCCGGCAGCGCCGTGACTTTCTCCTCCCGCCTCCCAAGAGGCGACCAGATGCTCTGCTGCCTGTTTTGGTGTCAGGGGGGTGGAGATGTGGGGACCCCCCAGTGACAACGTGCCCTTCAGGGGCCAGCCTGGGTTGGTTTGGGGCAAGCAGAGGGAGGTAGGACCTCCGGGTTGGCCGTGTCCTCGCTCCCTGGGCTGCCCTTGGGATGTGTCTCCCTGGAAGCCCACTTTGTTGGGGTGCTGGGGAGGGGGAGAAGGGGAGGAAGGGGGGGGGCAG